ACACACACACACACACCAGTCCTCCTCCCCAACACCCTCCTCCCACCTTCCAGTGAGAGGGAGGTGAGGGGGTAGGAGGGAGAGAGGGGGAGAAAGACCACCCTCACTGGGATCACAGCCCCTCAATCAGACCCTTTCACACCCTGTGAACCTGAAACAATCAGGGTTTAATAGCAGCTGTCTGTCTGTGGCGGCCCTGGCTAAAACCATGTAGGCTCACAGTGCAGAGCCGATCGGCTTCGGCCGCGGAGAGAACAGAGTAGACAGGCCTGGGGATGCTCCAAAGGACACATAAGCAAAGACACACACACACACTCAAACACTCCTTTTCTGTCTTTATCCCCCACTACTCTTTTCTCTCCTCCATCTTCTGTTTTTTTCCTCACGTACTTCAAGGCTCATGAAGAGACAGTCTGCTCCGTCAGATCGCCGATGTCAGGGTCTGGTATTTGAAGGTTATTTTGGTTCATCGGATTGAGTTTGTGTTGTTTTCAAACTGCTGCAGGGCTTTATTCTCGTTGTGTGTCGTCATTCATGGACATTGTTCATTCAGACTGGAGTGAATGGATTTTGGTCGTGTTCAGTTGTTGTTTCGGTTATCATCTTTGAGACAAACTTTATCCCATCAGAGCCATCTGAATATCACAACAAGAGGCCACAATTATCATGTATGCCAGTCATCATAGTTCCATAAGGTCAGGTTGCACTAATGATTTAATTGAGTTTCTTGTAGATGATCCTATAAATATAACATTGAACACATCAATTGATGCTGAAATAAGAATGAATGACACCAGAGGGCAAAGGCATTAGATACTTTAGAAAGCTTGAATTGCATTAGCCAAAGGGCACACATAATAGAAAGGGGAAATGTTGCAGTCATGGGAGATATTCAGAAAATCATTGTTCATGGTCACTTGGAGCTTTCCCACCCATACATCAGACAAATTGCTGCAGCGGTGATCTATAGAGACAAACAGTTCAAAGGATGAGACAAATGAGAGGTCGGCTGTGTTAGATGTAATTATTTTAGCGGATAGATGCTGGTAAGTTTAAGCCACAGTGTTGACTGGACAATTGAAAACAACCAGGACATCCTATAAAACAACGCTATTGCCAGAGAGAACATTGATATTGGATGACTCTGCGAAAACCCTGGATAATGTTCAATGACAACTAGAGTAGGGTTAAGGTTAGCAAAAGATTGTGGTTACGGCAAATAAACTGTGGTTAGGGTATGGTTAGGGTTAGGCAACACTTGGTTAAGTTTAGGGAAAGATTTTGGTTATGGTTTGAAAAAACACAACACACTGGACATAGTCTCCCACATTAAATGAGAATCAACCTCTATTCCCGACTTTAACCGTGTCTCAAAGAAGTTACATTCATACACTAATAATTTGCAACAGCGAATACATTTCTATACAAACATAATCCCTGCCAGATTACATTTTATATCAACATAATTAGGAAACGTTGTTAAAATGTGGATACTGAACTTATCTTAAGTTCTTCACTGACAGTGATTTAATTTGTTTTGCCTATAATATTCAGTCTTGCAATATATTATCCAATCCATAACAATCTAAGCATTATTAAACTTGTTTATGTTTATGTTTAGGCACTTTTTTAAAGTTAATGATCGTGGTTTAATAGAGAAATAGTGACTTGATGCATGAGAGACTTCATGATATTTAACCAAAACGGTCTTTCCCTAATCTCAACCAACAAACCTTTGTTGCCTGAAATTAACCACATGTAGAATTCAAACCCCAGTCTCCAGTGTCACAGTGCTGCACTTTGAATGGCCACTAATCCTACCAAATCAGTATTGTATTCAATCTAGCACTTCCTTTAATCAAATAAACCTTGCCGCAGAACACATGGCAAGCAGCAAATACGTTTTCTCTAAAAAGGCATTTGGAAAATTAGTAGTATACAAACTGATCGCCACACCCTTACTACATAAAGGGCCCAGTACTTCCTGCGTTGGCTCTAAACTTTGCCGTTGGGTGCAAATTGTGATCTGCACAAATGTCCAGTATGAACGGAATTCCTACGCTGCTGGGCTCCATGTGAGGTTGGGAGCACAACACCCAATGAAACAATGGAGGGCCAACCCAGCAAGGCCCTGCTGATCCTGAAAAACCTTAGACCGACCAACCAGTCGCTCTGTCTTTCAGGGCGGGTCTGGTCCCTGATGTGGGAACGCTCCGGTTCAGCCATCAACTCACGATTCTAATGCCTTACTAATACTACACATGAAAGGTCAAGTCACATGTGGAGCAGCAGGCAAGAAGAATGATGTTGGTCGTTTTACATCAAATGCAGTGTTTTTTGTGTAAGCCGGTGCCTGAGGGAATAGCGTGTGCGTGATATAGATTTAAGTATGCTGCTGACAGTAAAAGGCGGAGTCGTCCCTTCCCCATAGTCCCTCCTCCTTCTTTGAATGAGGGTGGCGGGTTTTGATACATTTATGTGTGTGCGTGTGTGCATGTGTGTAAAAGCAGTTAGGTCTGCGAACTGTTAACTATCGTCTCATGTGGTTGATATTAGAAATCAAACTAGTGCTAATAGGATCCAGGTGAGATTGTGAATAGCTTTCGTATGCACAAACAACCCACACTGATACTTACTCATTTCCCACTGTAACATTAGCTCGGTTTGTAACAATGGGTTTGTGGTTGGGTTTTCTTTGAGAGATGGTGGCCGGCTGTGGATGACAGAGGCGAAACTTTGGCAGCATCTGTGGAGGCAGAAATGGATGAGATTCAGTTGTTTGATCAGCTTGATAAAAGTAAATCGAACTGCTGCAGGTTTAAACTTGGTGCAAGCGATAACTGGATGAGTTTGTTGTTTACAAGTGTGTGTGTGTGCATGCGGGTTCATTCATAGAGTACTTGTATTCTTGCAAGATTTTGTACCTGTATGTGTGAGTGTCTTTGGCTGTG